TATGTATATGTATACATAAAGGCATCTGTATACGTCTATGAATGTGGTTTTATTTAAGATACTTTAAATGTATATGTTAACTATTTACAGTCGTATCTGTAAAACCAAAACATAAAAAACAGCTAAATCGATTTTAATGAGTAATAGACATAAGGGCAAATCAATTAACAATATCTTAGAGAATATAAATAAAAAAAATCATAATCGTAAAATAATGTCAATGTTGTGTAAATATCAGAAGTTCAAGACAAAATTTATAATGGTAAAAAAAAAAATTTCCTCGCCTCAGCACGTATGCATAAGGAGACTATATGCGGCACTGAGACACGGAGTCAGTACGTGTTCCTCAGTTTACCTTCCCGGACTATCTCGGAATTCGTGCGCGTCTACCTGCCTATGATCCGGTCGGTGTGAGCTTGGCCAGTGATTATTATTATTATTATCATTATTGTTGCTGTTGTCGTTATTATCATTATTATTATTATTAGTAGTAGTAGTAGTAGTAGTAGTGTAGGTGATAAAGCTAATGAAAAACGTTTGTCATGACGAGAGAGGTAGAAGCCACTGGCCTGGTCCTTGAGATAAGACTTAAACTAACCTGTCCTAGTAGAGGATCCAGACTTGACCTAGCTTGGGGATAGTGTTGACGTCTGATCTGCCTTGGGTGTCAGGAGCGACTTCCCTCCTTTCACTCTTAATACAGGTGACACCAGAGCAGTCGAGTCAGGTGGGTGTTGGTGTCCATCAAGTGGGAGTGACGAAGAATTTGCCTTTGTAATTTGCAGTGAACAAGTTGCCTCCATTTAGCTCTCTCTCTCTCTCTCTCTCTCTCTCTCTCTCTCTCTTCGGTTTCTCTCCTTTTTTCCCTTATGTGTGTGTGTGTGTGTGTGTGTGTGTGTGTGTGTGTGTGTGTGTGTGTGTGTGTGCGTGTCTATATATACATTTATAGTAAAACCTCCTCTGGCTTGACTTGTTTATGTACAGGCAGTCGGTCCAGCCATATGAAATTTCCGACCGCCTGGTCAGTTTTTTCTCAGATACGAACGAAAACAAAAATATGAGTAAAACTAAAAAAAAAATATTTTGGACTCACCAGCTGAGCTCTCGACCTCAGGGACACAGCAAGGAATGGGTGGTTAAGGTAATGGTTGTCCAGCTTTAATGTTGTTTAAATACTCTAAACATTACTTCAGCTTACGGACATTAAGAGTAACAATAACACTAAGGGGTGAAGCATAACACAGCAGAAGGAAGGTGCTGACACGTGTGGTAAGACGGCGACTGTAGGTGTCTTGCATCACCTACTGTATTTATATCTATCAGTGACACTGTGTATTATGACAACACAACACTAAGGAACATTTAGTGAGGCACTGTAAGAAATAAGTGTGAGGAAGATGACTGCTGGTCACTCCATCAGCCGCCTGCCCTGGACGGTGTCACGTGACCCTCACAAGTTGACCTGATTAAATTCAGGCTGTCCGAACTTTCAGGATATTTTTCCGCCCAACGCCAAGTTTTTCCCTAATATTCCGGCTGAACTACTTAAAAAACAAAAAGTCCGGCCATCCGAAAATTCCGCTCTCCAGATCTCCGGGTAGGACGTTTTACTATATATATATATATATACATATATATATATATATATATATATATATATATATATATATATATATATATATATATATATATATATATATATATATATATATATATATATATATATATATAAAGAGAGAGTAAAACGTCCTACCCTTATACACATACATAATTCATAACTTCAGGACACAAGTGCTCCGGCGTGGGCGTCCGCTGCTACGCAACATCTCTGAGGTCATCGCCCGCAGCTTATGAGCTGAGGAGGCGAGATATTACCGCCTAAATCCTTGGCAGCACTTGCCAGGCTCGACCGGCTTGGATATCTGAGCTTTACAGAGGGCTCCTCCTTGCCTATCGCACAGCACGACAATCCCGGCTCCTTAGGGTCGGATGGGGCCATTGTGCTGCCTCTCGGATATGTGGAGGCCGTGGATTTATGTCTCGTTTCCGGTCTTGGAGCAATAAAGGCCTTGCAGGAGTTGCTCAGTGAGGCGGCGCCGAGAAGTTGTGTTGGGTGGCGAGCGACACACATACATCACTACAGATCTGAGTTGGGCCGAAGTAGTGAAGGGCTGAGAGGGGAGTGGCCATAGTCTGCTGGGAGAGGATTGACCTATATCGTGGTAGGTGGTGAGGCTTGCAGGGTGTAGGACAGGAGGGTGACAGCTGACAAGGGTCGCACAGGTTCTAAGATATTTTCTAAGCCTGGGAACAAAGTGATAACAAATATTGAAAAAACAACCCCTTGACGGTACATGACACACCCTATAATTTGACAGTGTGTTGATCTGACGTAAATGCCGTAAAGAGATACACCTAAAAAATAACGACAAAAATGTTCCTTAACTAATATATATATATATATATATATATATATATATATATATATATATATATATATATATATATATATATATATATATATATATATATATATATATATATATATATATATATATATATATATATATATATATATATATATATATATATATATATTGTGGTCATACATTACAAGCTGCTATAAGTCTTCCCTTCAGTATATGCTTCATTTGTTTCAGCCACATCAATATTGTTGGAAGAGTGATGACACTGTCTCTGTGTTCATCTTTACCATGTTTAGATGTCAACTGTGTGTTTGTGTGTGTGTGTGTGTTTGTGTGTTTGTGTGTGTGTGTGTTTGTGTATGTATATAATTGTTCTCTTGCATGACTGCTTGCATCATCAGTACAATCTTTATATATAAACAAACAATTTTGCTTCCCTAATTGCTCCAGAAAAAACTCAGGTTAATTACCATCATTAGCATACACCCTATACTTACCTGCCAAGCTATTCATCACCTGTCTCTCGGTGTTTACTCTACCTATAATATCTCATCAAACTATACCTTGACCTCACCTGCCATCGTAATTACGTGTTGCAGCTCCACAAATAAAACTCTCTTTTTTCTTGGAAACGAATAACTCATTAATTCATGGGTCGGACACGCGAGTATTGTGGAATAACAGGGTAGGTCTGGCGGCTTCTGTCTCGCGAGGGTTAGACGATAAATACGGTATTGGTTGTGTTGGACGATTTATGTGGTGCCCTTGTTTGAGTCTTCTCTTTCTCTTTCCTTTTAACCATTTCTCTCTCTTTGTATCTCTCATTTGTCTCATCTCTGTCTAAATCTGTTTGTTTCTCTCATTCAATATTGCAAACTAAAAAAAGTAATGCAAAAATATGTCTTATGAGGTTTTAATGTAGTGTCTACGAATCGTCATATATTTCTGTAGTATTCCTGTCTCTATGTCTTTCCTTTCCTTATCGGTTTCTATAATAACTACACATGTACCATAACATGAGCGGTAGAGAGGTAAAAGCAGTATTTTCTTGTCATGAATTATTGTCATAGGTAACACAGCAGATCTAATACCTCCTCTAGCACAGACACCCTCCCCTCACAAAGGTTGTTAGTGAAGGTGTGTGTGTGTGTGTGTGTGTGTGTGTGTGTGTGTGTGTGTGTGTGTGTGTGTGTGTGTGTGTGTGCTTAATCTCAAGAGAGTCATTTAATCAAACAGGAATTTATATGAAAATATTGTAATCATGATTTGTAAGTTATTGAATCGTGAAGAAAGTCATGGTATGTAAATTTACTAAATCTCTCAATGTCAGAGGATAATGAATGTTTGTCTGTGTTGGTGAATATTTGGTGAATTTTGTGATATTTCCGTAAGTAGTTACAAATAAATAATATGCGGTGGCAGAGTAGATACATCACTCACCTTCCGTCCTGAGGGTTGTTGGTTCATCCCCGGGGAGCTCCCAGTTCACCTAACTGTGAATGGGTACCTGACAGTTGGAGAAATGATGGAAAAGATTCTTCCTTGTGTAGCGAGGGTACACAAGTTCAATTGTTTGAGTCTTGTCTCTCTTTTTTTCTTCTAAATATTCAAACCTGTTTAACCTTCAAGCTTTCAGAGTAGATGCCTTGTGTCCTGAAACCTTGAGGAATGTGTTAAGACTGACCAGGTGCTGAGACTGACCAGATGTTGAGACTGACCAGGTGTTGAGACTGACCAGGTGTCAAGACTGATCCACCACAACTTCACAAGGCACAGTATTAATAATGAGGACTGAAGCTTCTCCAACCTGCTTTGATGTGATGCCTTGAAGTTATCTGGTTAGAAATTAATGCAGTGAAAACAAAACTTTGTGTACATCGCACTTTGTGGTGAATAATTTGGGTAAAGGTCAAAGTCATGAATGAAAATGTTTATTGAAGCAAACTTTGAGCTGTTGCCTTGACCTTACATATTTATAACTGAAGGACCAGTGTATGAAGTTTTGATAACTGTCCTAATTACTATGAAAACACTTAATTACCAGAAATTCATGATCTGTGGTCGAGCTGTTGAAATTATGATATTATATTGTCTTAAATCTTCACCCTGGGAGAATTTTGTGCTTGGTTGAGAAAATTCAACAACCAGGATCACAACGTCAAAATATATTCAGAGGCCTTTAGCTATTGCCTTAAGACTTCAGATTTTTATTTTAATCTTCAGGAAGATTTTACCTGGATGAGATATTGAGATTTTCACCGACAAGAGACTTTTGTGTATAATAATAACTATTTCTTTTGAACTGTTAAAATCCCTAGAAGAAAATAGTTCAAACTGGTAAATTGGCTTCAACTCTTTAATGTTGAAATACAAAAATCATGTATATTTATGGTGGAGTTTTAATATACTCCTTTTCCTCTTTCATATGTATACATGATAACTCAGGAACTAAAATGGATTTCTTTATTGATAACTGAAATATACTTAACATAGAAAAAGGGAATTAATATAATAAAAAAGATGCCGGAAAAAGGAAAAAAATATTTCATGTAACTTTTTCCTTTTCTTCTGCAGGTTATGTCGACGGGTGAGCGCTGAGGCTGAGCACGTAAGGGAGAGCTTCTTCTGCAGTAGCCACGGCCCGGGCAAGGTAAGACACGCGTTTGTTATCACTTTATAATTTTTTTCTACGTAAGGTTAGGTAAGATAAGGCAAGGTTAAGGTTATGTAATGTAATGTAATGTAAAGAAAGGCAAGGTAAGGTAGCGTCAGGTGTGATCGGAATGAGAAACATGAAGTCAATATTAGTTATGTACGAACCCAGACTAAAATCTGGCCCAAAATTTTAAATTATATTTGTGAATAAAATAAATTAAGTGAAATAGCAGTAAATTAGAAATATTACCAGAATCATAGATAAACAGAGGACCAACGTATTCCACGAGACAAGAAAATAACATCAAAATCTATTTACCAGATGGATAGATAAACTATTTTTTTGCGGGGGAGGGGGGGGGATGTGTCAAGAAAACTAGTTATGGAAGAATATGGGTGACGCCTTTGTTAGTGACATAACACACGCCTATGAAGACGGCATAGAACGATTTTTATTTTCTGTAGTTAAAAAAACGTCCATTTACAAACTTAGAACACTTGTTGCATATGCAGTTGTGTATATGTGCAAGTGCAATACAGATTATACATACACACACATGCGAAAGACCACACACACCCACACCCACACACACACACACACACACACATCCATCGTAATAGGAACATAGCACACCGATATCTCCTCCAATACTACACTGATCTGGCGACGACACATCAGTTACCGATCCAAGCACAATTCCCTCGACACACAGTAATCCTCTTCTCTCACTGACAACCCCATATAGCCTACAGCACACGAGGGTAAAAGACACGTAGAATATAGAATTAAAACCGTATAAACACAAGCTCATTGTCTATAATCTTTAAATAGCTATCGTGAAGTCTCGCGGAATGTGTTACAAGAGACGATACTCTCTTAATTGGGTGGAAGAATGTGAATTGATTGTTTGTGGAATAGAGATTGAACTATGGGATTAACCAGGGAGGTGTAGATGAACGAATGCTTAAGGTTCTCATTTATCACATTAGGGTCAGCTGTGTTTGTTGAGAATTCGAGCAGAAGTTTCCTTTGTCGACACACGACCCCGCGGCAGGTAGTGAAGGATACCCACACAGGTAGACTCGCTCGGTGGGCGAAGATAATTTGACAGATATTGACAGGGCTTTCAATTTATTCCATCACATATCAGGCTGTCAGGGTCTGTCTCGCTAGTCTGTCTATTTTTTGGTATATGGGGAGGAAAGTAGCTGCGTGTTCTTTTTTTTTTCTGTTGACTAAGAATGAAACAGATTCTCGTTTTCAGTATTAGTAATTGTGTTAGACGTAGTTCTCTTGACAACATAATAGAACTATCTCTGGGGAAATTATATTTAAGAAATGAAACATAAACCTTGAGTGGAATTTAGAGAATGGGACATCTATCTCTCCAAACTTTAGAGTGGATTCTCAAGAGGTTCAGCTGCAATGCTCACTTTTGCTATTATTCAGGTGTTGAATTGAATTTGTTTAATTGAAATAGTTTATTTAGCCAGAAAAACACAGATACAGAGTGAATAATAATAACAATATTAACATGGCTGAGGCAGTTGAGAACCTGAGCTCTTCTGACAGCGCAAGTATTCATGGCACAAACTGAAGGAGAAGAACGTGCTTATCCACATAAACACTAATATTCTTCTTTTTTATTTTTTTTAATATATTAAATCCTTGCAGGCGTTTGAGCAATGAATGTTCAGAGAAAATCAAGCAGGAATTTTCTTTCGTTTCAGAGTCAAGAATTATATGGATTGTAGAACTTTTTTATTATCTTTACTGAGATGGGAATTTTTTTTATGTAATCCTTAGTTAATTAAATTGTCGAAATAGTCTACTGTGATGAGGAAGTTAGTAGCAGCAGTAGATTCTTAGTTTGAAGGTCAGTCCTTGAGTTACACTGCTCGAAGGGTCTACAGTATTCTAGTCAGTAGGTGATTGATAGACTTATACTAATGTTATCAACACCCCTTAAGGCACACGTGTTCATTAGCCTTTGCAATGACTTTAATACATGTTCAAATGTTCACCTGTATACACACATACACACATCTCTTCACATGTTTACCTACTGTATATAACTCATTCACACACCATTCACATATTTTCCCACATACACCTGTACACAAGTTTACTTATATACAAGCAGAGAAACATATTTATTCACAGGTTCACCTACATACCCACATACTTGTGTGTTTTCATTCGGTAAATGAGATAAATAATATAAACAAAAATTTTTAACAAGAATAATACTGCAGTTTGTCCCTGGTACTTTATCATGTTTTTGCTTACGAATTTCTTGCGTAATTTAGAATGAGTTTCACAGTGTATAATGTCACTGAAATAATGACAGTATCATTATGGGTCACTGTCAGAACCATCTACTGTCAGGCTTTCCTTTTAAACTTATAGTAACTACACTGGTTATATCACTTTACTATTGAATAATTTTAATGCCAAGAGATAAATTTTTCCTGAAGCTCTTTTAAGTGAAAGTATATATAATTCTTGGGATATGATGTTACCAGATCCTTTTAAATAACGTGTGGGGGTAGGTAAGGTGGGGGTGGGGAGGGGGGGGCCGCGTCTTCACCCAGTAGATAAAGGAGAGGATAATACTCAACTCATAAATCACTATTGAGTCAACAAAAGTTTTCATGAACCGATCAAACACCATAAATCCAAGAGGAGTCATAAATCACAGGTCGCAGTTTTTTAATCCACTGTTGACGTCATGTAAACAAAGTAAAAGACGGATCTCAGTGTTGGTTTGTCGACTCTCCAAACATCATCATGTCACACGCGTCTTGCCATCTGGAAAGAATCTTTACAAAGTTATCAGTGAGGAAGCCTGATTAACGTCGTGATAAAGATGATTAATTTTGGTTCCAAAAGTTACTTGGAAAGGAAAGATGTTTGAATTTACAGTATATATATATATATATATATATATTGTGTGTGTGTGTGTGTGTGCACCCATGTATTTCTCTAAAAATATATTCGTGTGTCCAGTTTTGACATACATACAGTGTGTGCGTGTGTGCGTAAACCCGGTCTGACACACATCTGTTAATGCATTAATATTTTTTCGCATGAAAATAATTCTACAAAGGTGTTCGTTCTATAAATGTTAAGTCTTTTAGAGAACGATTCATAAATTAGCGTCAAGTTGGAAAATTCAAGTATTTTATGTGTCAGAAGTTTGACAGTAACTGACACGAAGTGTATTTTACCCATCATCATCATCACGAAACTTCCCAGATTTAGTGAAACCGAAAAGAAGTTTTGTTCAAGACTCGCGTACAGGTGAACGCGCTGCCGGTGGTGTTGGTTAGGTTAGGAACTGGTATTTATTTATATATCTTCGATGAGGTTAGGTTAGGTTAAGTTAGTTTAGGTTTGCTCAGGTTAGTTTGGCCAGGTTAGGGCAAGTCTGGTGAGGTTAAGTTAGGTCAAAGTACGAAGAAAAGGTTTGAAGTTAAGGTTAAATGCTATAGGTCAAGGCCAAAGGTCAAGATTAAAATCGAAGCTTAAGGTCAACATCTAGAGTTAAGGTTAAGGTACAAGGTTAAAATCTACGGTCACAGTATAAGGTGCAATCCATTTATAGATCAATATTTAATAACTCATGATGATTTGCCAGAGACAACATTTTGAGTTAATAAATATGAGAGTAAAATATTAATCCACAATTACCTCCAACAATATATAAATCCGCTGTGATTTATAAAGATACATTAGTTATGGTTGTGTGTTAAAGGGGTGATAAATGTAAATGTTGATATGTTTATTTTTAGTGAAGTAACAGAAATTCAGTTGATTGATGTTGACTGCTGGAAAGGTCAACGAGTTACGTGTAAAATATTTCATTATAAATATCTTTTGGTGATACATAGAGGAAAAATATTTATGCATAAAAAAAATCCTCAAATGTATTACCATGAAATTACATAGACATATAAAACTAAATGGTATGTATGTCATGCACTTAAAGAAGAAAATATGATCGACTTTTTCTCCGAACACTTGTTTTTCTTGCACTCTACTTCCTCGATAACACACGGTAATAATTCTGTACGTCAGGCCGCCTCTGAGACGTCTTGGCTATTTCTTGGCTATTTATAGCGAGATCGAACCAACATTTTCGCCCGTAAATATTGGTAAGGTGGCGCGAGGCAGCTGATATCTCCTCCCTGGACCCTGTCTTACCTAGCTGCTCATATTTCTTTTTTATGTGATACAATGTCGTATCTGGCACTAGTGTGTGTTTATATATATATATATATATATATATATATATATATATATATATATATATATATATATATATATATATATATATATATATAAACAACAGCCATGTCTGGTATATCCAACAAGCTTCATTAATTTAATACAAATACACAGTGATAGAGCTCACGCGAAAATGAGGCAATTACCAGGCCTGCTGAACAGTGAAATAGGCTACGGGATAGAGCGTTCAGTGTTTGTGTGTGTGTGTGTGTGTGTGTGTGTGTGTGTATTTATTGCTTTGTGCATGCACATATGTGTACTGTATATTTATGCAAGCGCGCTTGTGTGTATTATTCTTAACAATATTTACATTTTCTAAATATCAAAGAGAGCAACATTCATATAATTGTTTTTTTTAATGATAAGTAAAACCGGGTGGAATTTTTAATTGCATAATTTATGCTGATGAGGAGAGTGATCAAATGTCTGTATGTCAACATCATGACAGACCGACATAAACTGATAGACAAACAGCTTCAAACACCGGCTGGATCATCACTCAGTAATGAATTGTCTCTTCAACGAGGCGCTGAGCCAGCCATTACCAGAACTGTGTCCCACATTTACCAGTACATTGTCACTATGGTACAATATATTTTACCGTCAATTAAATGCTCAAATACAACCATTCACAGCGTGTATACACCATCGGCTTTAATGTATGTGAAAGATTACCACATGAGAGGGATGTCATTCGAAAAGTT